ACGATTGGAGGGAGGCTATTTGTTGGATAGCTTGAACGGCCCTGTAAAATCAGGCCAGTTCAGATCTTATAAGATCGTCCTAAAAATCTCTCAACTGATTAATTTAACAGGAAATGTAAATTAGCTTAATAAATAGAGGTCATAAAGAAGAATGTTTATTTGAGGATATGAAGACCAAGATGGTGTGGCCTTTTGTGTTGTCGCAGTCTTCTTTCGTTGTATAGAAGTATTTTGACCTTGTTTTCGCAATTTGCTCCTATTGGTAGGCAGGCTTAGATGAACGCACCTAGTCTGGATTCTATTGTATGCATGATAATTTCCAGTCGGACTGTGAACTTAGTACATTCCCAAAAGTTTTGCCGGCATCGTCACTGAGTCTTGCCATACGCAAACCAGGGAGATAGCAGACTGATACTACGCGGCAAGAGGAAGACTATGATAAGATCTAGGGATGGAGGACTGCGTAATAATATGGGAGACTGATAAACATTCCCAACACAAGGTTGAAGGTGGTGAGAGAGCCAGTGTTGGGTGTGTAGAGTTCTCGTGAAATCCACTCTAAATGTCACACCATACCACATTAAAATAAGCATTTAATAAATTGTGATAATGAAGGGGTGATACGAGGATATAGAATTGGTGAATAGCCCATGGCAGAATTAGAGATACCACGATTGTTTGGCAGACAATTGGTCAGAGGATCGGCTTCACCTGTCTCCATGACAAGTTGTACTGTCGTGCTATGAATGGCAAGACTCACTGACGATGCCGGTGAAACTTCTTGGAATGTACCATGTCCACGGTCCGACTCTGGAAATGATCATGCATACAATTGACTCCTGACTAGGTGAGTTCCTCTAAGTCCTACCAATATGACCAAGTTGCGTAAACAAGGTCAACCTACTATAATGCTTAATTTTGTTTTAAAGTACAAGATAACGTTTTACACTGATCCTGCAAACTTACATCCATTCTATTTGTTACTATTTAAATTTTTCTTTATGCCTATTATTTTACTGGCTAACTTATTAAGAATATAAATTTGAAATATGCTTACAAACTTTAAGCTTCCTTGAATATATCATGTTTTCTTGACAAATCGATGCTTAAGAACGGCAAAATAGCGCGTAACCTCGTTTGCCTTGCATATGTTTGTACTCTTTCTCGAGTCTATATTGCTCTTTTATGAGTCTGTTTAAATTTGTTTGGAGCTAACCAGAGAACAGGTTATATTGGAAATTAGGCTCTAGATATTTACTCCTCCATGAGTCATACCTTTTGAGTTGAAATTTTAAGGTTGATGTGTTTTATCCCTATTCCCTAGTCTTGTGTAATATAATAAAAGCCTTGCTGCAAGTATAGGTGCCTTTTTCGTGATGCTCGACCATATTCTAAAAGTTTGATTTGAAAACGCTGCATCTATGATTTCAGACAGCTATTTTCGCATGAATTCTGCTATCTTTATTTCAAACTGCCGTCTCATCTGCTGTATTCATCTTATTCATCTTATTCATCACGATGTCAGATGAGAAGGCATTGATCACACATATCATATATTGTTCATAACATTTGCAATCGGGATAAGTGTTTATTATAAGTTATGAACATTTGCATTGAACTCACTTATATATGTCTATTCTAGCGTCTCCCCATTGATTCTCCAATTATAGTGTTATCACTATTTACTCTATAGTAAACAATGGATTGCCTCAATCTGCTCCTTATTTGTTATGGCTTGGCTTCCAACTCAAGAGTTGTATGGGAAAGTCAATATTAATTTTTTATACTTTTATTTTATTTTATTTTAGGCTCGTGAATGGTTAAGGAGAGGTGAAGAGCTCTTAGAAATGACCAACTCTATGGCTCCAACATGGGCAAGTCTTTTGACATGCAAAGGCCTGCTTTCGGACCTTACTGAATTTATTGACTCACGCGAAGTCTTTCTGGAGCAGCTAACCGACCCACGAGAGTTTCGCCGCCATTTTAGCGACCTACTAAACACCGTTATGCGTGTACGTGTCTTATATTTTCAATATTGCCCCTTCACCTAGAGGCTGAAAGGGTCCTTTTATCACATCTACTGCTCCACTTTCCTTTATTTTTGAACTTGATTTATGTTTATTTTATATGGTTAAAAAGTTGGATTTGTTAGCTTTCTTGATTTTCATTCTCTAACTTGCTTTTGGCATTATGGCCTATTAATGTCTCTTAATACATAGGTCTTATCTAAAAGTTGGATATTTTGATGCGTTTTTTCTTTAGATATTTTGAACGTTTTCTAGAATTTGCCAATTTTTGAGAGCTAAATAAAAATATAAACTTTTTTATTTAATGAATAATGTTTACATTTCTACCCCTACTTAATTGCAAGTCTGAATAAGGATTTCTGTCTTCACTATTACATTGGACCAGTCAGATAGGTTCTTTTATTTGAACATTCCCCTTCAAGCTGTATATTATAAAAAGTATAGATTTCACCAATATCGATCATCTTCTAGCTCTTGTCAAGGTGATATAACCAGCGCCGTAGTTAACTATGCTCCGATAAACCAACTTGAAAGGATGCGCACCTGAAGTTTTTCAGAACAGGTAGGGGTTCGTATTTAAGTGCAAAAGAGATTTACTGCCGGATTGGCTTCGCTTGTCACTGATTTTTTGTTGCTCAATTTTTTAGGCCACATGACTACTATAGAAAAGAAGGCACGTTCTTTAAAGTTCCTTTAAAAAAAAGTGTAAGTTTTGATGACGTAGTCAGACCAACTAAAATATATTTCATCTGCTGTGAAGAAGAATATTTCATTCCTTCAAAGGCAAATCTTTGCTCCATATATATTGTCGTATTTATTGTACTTTACCACATAAGTTGATTTAAAAAATTTAAGCTTTAGGAAGACTTGCTTTTTGACATGTATGTTTGAATGAATATGTTGTATAGACACATAAGGTTTCACGTTTACAATTGCTGAATATTATATTCTACACAGTTTACTACAATCATTAGTCAAGACTAATTTTAGTAAATTATTCTATTATAATTAATTTAGTGGGAGAAAAGTCCCTATTATTAAATGTAGATACGAAGATCAAAATGTTGTGGCCTCTATTATGGTCGCAGTCTCCTTTCGATATATAGATGTGGTCTGACCTAGTTTTCGCAACTTGGTCATGTTGTCAGGGCGACTTAGTTGGACGCACCTAGTCCGAAGTCCTCTGCTATAGTAGTTATCATATTTCCAAACATCCGATCGTGGGCTTGGTACATTCCTAGACGTTTCGCAGGTATTACCAGTGAGTCTTGTCATTCTCAGCACCAAACTACAGCCCGTCAAAGAGTTTCCCTTCTAATAGTATATGCTTCTCTGATATCCTCTTCCTTTCTTCCGGTGTCATGTACTTCACTTGAATGTTTCACAATGTTTGATGATCTGTCGTTTACCTTCTCGAGTTTCAGACATGAACTTTGCCTCTTTATTTGTTGCTCCATATTCGTTGTGGATTATCAGCCTTAGTGTTTATCTTTCCTTGTTTAATTTCTGTAACCCGTAGATTGTCGGTGGTCGTGCACCCTTTTTTATTAGTGAATTTATTGTCTATCCATTGATCTCCCCGTTCCTATGTATATCTTTCTGCATGTTACGTAAGGTTCCATTTATCTTCATAGTTGAGCCATTCTTTAGTACACGATACGTGAAACCTTATGTGACATGCTGGTATATACGCATAGAAACGGAGAGATCAATGGATGGACAATAAATTCACTAATAAAAAAGGATGCACCACCACCGAAGTTATGCGAGCAAGAAGAATCACCAAGGCTGACAATCAACAACAAGTATGGAGCAACAAAAAAATTGGCACAGTTCATGTCTGGAACTCAAATAGGTAAATGAAAGATTATCACATACAGTGAAGCACTTATGTCAAATGATCGAAAACATGACACTGGAAGGAACAGAATTATTGGCATGTTTTGATGCACAACTATTTTTGGAGAAAAGGTGCTAACGGCCCTGGTAGAATTTTTAAATCATTTCTTGGAAAATGTATACGTAAACAAATTTCAAGACATCATCTCTGCAACGAAGAGTGCTTATGCAATACCTGGATGACTACTTCGCACTTTTGTCGCATGAAGGGGAAAAGTTGGAGGATTTTCTGAAGCTTATTAATCATCTTTGTTAAAGAATCAAATTTACAATGGATGTAGAGGAAGAGGGGCTTTTAGCTTTCTCAGATGCGGAAGTCATTCGCTCTAATGGGAGACAGAAAATTGTTCCATAGGAAGCCATTTGCCGGAATAATAATCAATTTCGAGTCTCATCACTACAGACTAAGGATAGGAATACTGAGGAGCATGATCATCAGAAGCCTACGATTAACGGATGTTGAATTCTGGAAGTAGGTTTCAAGACTACCTGTCCACTTATCCTTAAAAAAAATAAGGTGAATACATTTCGTATATTATTCTATTCCTGTAAAGGTATAATATAGAACAGATTTTTTAAGGTCAGAAGTGAAACTTTAATGCCCTAGTTTATAATTTTCCTAGTCATCGCG